GAATCCTCTTCCTCGTCCTCGTCCCCGCACATTTCCTCTCCCTCTACCCCTAGAGTTAGGGAAGCCCTGTTCTCTCCCCTGGACCACTGCCAATAGATTTTGCTGTTGCCTCCGGGAACTCTCTTTTTCTCTATTGTTATACACCTTCCAAGCCACTTCTAGCAACCTGTCCAAGTTTCACAAGTCTGCTCCCTCCAGCTTCTGCAATTTCTTCCTAATGTCATCCTGAGACTGCCCCAAAAAGATCAAAGCCAATTGTGCCTTAGCCTGTTCAGTTTCCACATCCAGGTCCGTATATTTCTTTGCTGTCTCTTTAAGTCTTTCCAAGAAAGCAGACGGTGATTCTGTCTTTTCCTGCCTTATGTTATATAGCTTTGACCAATCTATTGTTTTAGGCATAGCATTCTGCACTCCAACAACCACCCAATCTTGATACCTTCGCAAATTCCTCATTCCCCTTGCCGTGTTATAATCCCACATTGGATCTTCTGTAGGGAAGTTCTGATCTACATTTCCTTCAACCAGTCCCTGTCGTATATCCTTCCGGACCCTTTCTCTTGCAGCCCGCAACACCATTTCCTTTTCTGTTGAATCCATGAGGGTGTCTAAAAGCACCTGGATGTCAACCCAGTCTGGATTCTGGGTTTTAATGATCATTTTCATTACATGGGCTACCCTATCAGGATTCTCTCTATATGTCCCTGCTGATTGTTTCCAGATAACCAAATCCCCAGGAAAAAAGGGCACTTTAACATACACTGGTCCTTCCGTTCCAACTCCCTGTCTTAAAGGTGCAAGCACTGCACTAGGTGCCTAAGACGCCTGAGCCTGCACTTTCTTTTTCCATTCTCCCCTCTGGCTAGTTCGGTGTGAAACTGGAGTAGCAGAAATCTCTGTCTCTCTGCATTCACAATCACTTTCATTCTCAAGATTGTTATCACTATCGTTCTCCTCCCCCCCCTTTCTTCCTTTGCTACTAGCGGCGCAAGCGGAGCCACTGCCAAATCAAGATTTTCATCATCTTTCTGGTGCTGCAAACTGTTTTCTACAGCAAAACATCCAACACACTTCTTCTCAGTAACACATCCTTTACACTGTTCATTTGCACTTGCTTTAACAACTAAAATCCCACAAGACTTCTGCCATTCCTTATTGTTCCTTAAAGTAAAGAAAAGGTCTACATACGGCACTTCATCCCATTTTTCTTCCCTTCTACAAAACAACATTAGTTGCAATATAGTATTATATTGCAGAGTGCCATTTTCAGGCCACTTTTCCTGATCCCCTAGTTCATACTGTGTCCACCAAATGTTACAATAATCAATCAATTTACTTTTCCGCATACTTTGCCCAAATCCCCCTTCCTTCCAATGGCTTAGCAGACAGCCTAGTGGAGAGGACTTGGGAATCGGCGGCATCTTGTGAGTACAAAGGAGTTTCCTTTTGTACCACAAATCCTAAGGAAAACTGGTTTCCTTTACACCACTAAGTTACAACACTTATTTACACCGATGCTGTTCCTGCAGCATAAATACCAATACCGAACCACATTTGCCGAACCTGCAGAGCTTTTGCTACTGTCTAATAGACGGCGCCTAGGCTTTTACCCCGAGAGCTCTCTAGCCCCAACCAAGCGCAGCTTTCGTCATGTCTAACAGGCAGGCTTTACTACTAGCCCAGCCACACACAGCTTTTTGCTGCGTATAACAGGCAGGCTTTTACCAGACCTTTACCAAAGGTCAATACCATACATTTACTAGAAATCGGTACCGTAACCCAAATCAAAAGCACCTTTCTCACCGTATCAGAGGTCCGTCGTGAGCAGCGGAGGTCGGTTGCGGTCGATAGCTCCCCGAGAATATCTCGGTGCCGGCTGGAGCAGGATCGAAACGCAATCCGCCTCAGCAATGCCCGCGAGGTCCCATCTGGGTCGCCAAAACGTTAGCGTCAAGACAAACACATAACCACTGGGATGGTTATATGAGGTGCTTTATTGAGGCGCAGGCGCAAAGGACCTTCTAGCTCATTATAATACGAAGCGGGGATAGGACATGAATATGTATAGGCATATTGTGCAACCTTATGAATATATATAACTTTAGAGAATAAATGTAGAGGGAAACAACACTGAGGCACCCATGCCTTTGGAGGAGCTATCCCACATGCATCTCAGCGCTGAATAAAAGCATACCTACTTTACAACTTTAACGAGTTGTGGAGTCTATCTGCATATCAGTATCAATGGTGACTATTGTAAGTGCGCAGTCATTAAGTTTGTCTGTAACAGTTCATAGAAATCTCAGAAAATGTCAAGAAAAGGCCTTGTCAAGAAAAAGAAGAGAACAGAATTTCAGTGCTGAATGTCAGTTTACAACAGCTTGCTGCCTAGGAAAGTGAGAATATTTTTCTTGAGTAATCCTGCAAACAAGGACATTTGAATGGTTATTCATTAATATAACTATTAGTTAAAATTTAACAAGTCAGCCTGTGTATGCTGCGTGACATTTGATAGCAACACCACTTGAAATATTTACTTATTGTTTCCTTACCATTAATAATGAAATACCTAAGTTCCCTTTTGCTTTTCGCTTCTGTTAAACAAAGCACATCCATTCATAGATTTAAATGGGCCACATTTTCTGTCATGAGCTACCAGAAATTTCAGCTATTTTTATACGGTGCAACTTACCCTAATGTTAAGAGTGAAATTATGCAGTTGTGGATTTGCTTCTAACTTTCTCCAGTGCAAGTTTCATATGACTTATTTCATAAGCTTGTTGTTTTCTGTCTCATAATCCAAAAGACTGCATCAGAGAACAGTTGATAGGAAGCTGGGTTTGGTCACACTATGGGGTGTATTTTTGCAGAGTAGAGCAGATTCTGGAATGTGGCACCATGTTTCTAAATACAGATCTTTTGGGTGTCAAAGTAGAAGTGGCCTAGTTGACATTATTGTGAAGGTTTGCAGGTTCACAGAAGTAAGCAGTTAAACTCTGATATCACTGAGCTTTCTAGTAAAAGACTCAAGCTCTCAGCTGTTAAATTGAAGAGGAAATTATGGTTGGTGTAGATCAAATAGAGGAGAAAATACAGGTCCAATGTACAGGTCAGGTACACTCGTCTACCCAACATGATAAAGAGGAGGCAGCAGAACTGGAATACAATCTCATCAGATGCAACAACATTCCATTAGTGTGAGGCTATGGCACCATCTATAGGTGAGATTCTTGTCCAAACCACCTGTCCGACTCTCCCCTTCTGACAGTTCTGCACAAGAAATCCCCATCCCCAGTCCCTTGCTCCATAACTACCCTGCTCTCCAGCCAGCTAGAAATGCTATGTTGCCTCGTCACAAGTGCCTGCCACCTCAATGGGGAGGTAATCTTTTTTTCTGCTCTACAGGACTGTTGTGGTTTCACCCAGAAAACACGCAGTGGTTCGCTCACTCTCCCCACCCCCCTCCTCTGCTCCCAGAGGGATGGGGAGGAGAATTGAAAGAATGTAACTCCCACGAGTTGAGATAAGAACAGTCCAGCAACTAAGGCATAACACAAACCGCTACTGCTGCCACCAATAATAATAATGATAAGGGAAATAATGAGGGAAGGGAACACAACCATTCACCACCTGCCAACTGACACCCAGCCCAACCCAAGCAGTGATCTAGCCCTTCCAGATAACCGCCCCCAGTTTATATACTGGGCATGATGTGCTGTGGTATGGAATACCTCTTTGGTCAGTTTGGGTCAGGTGTCCTGTCTGCTTCCTCCTGGCTTCCCTTCCTCCCTGACAGAGTGTGAGACTCAGAAAGTCCTTGGTCAGACTTGGTCATTTGAGCAGTCTAAAAACATCGGTGTTATCAGTGCTGCTCCCAGGCTAAAAGTCAAAAACACAGCAGTGCACCAGCTACTAAGAAGGACAAAAATGACTGCTACTGCTCAACCCAGGACAAGGACCCTGGCCACATTTGAGATCCTTTCCTCAGAAGTGGCTGTGACCAGCTGCTCACCTGCACTTCAGATGTGCTGTGTGGCTTACGAGTCCTCACTTGGGTCTACTTGCCCCTTCAGGCAGGACCTGCTGTTTGGGGGCAGGACTTAGATGCCACTAGGGAGGGAGAAAAAAACTGGCAATTTCTCCTGGTGAAGATCCCTAGGATGTTCTGGTGAGAGGCTGGAAGACAAGCTCTTTCTGAAAAGTTTTTTTCCCTCTTCACAGGCCTCTGGTGTGGTGAGACATCTGTCTCAGATCAGAAGAGTTAGGACGAGGGACATGTACACCCTGAGAGTGACTTTTGGACATGGCCACACAAACTGCTAGGGGCAACAGCCCTGCAAGCCTGTTATTTCTATTCCTTGGCACTCACAACAGGGGTGACACTGGCCTTGATACCTTTTAAGTGGGGTGAAGCAGCAGTGGGAAGGTGCTTAGGGCATGAAGTGTTGTCAAACATGGATACTACCTTGCTCCCACAACGCATGTGGCAGGGTGTGAGCCTGACGCGTTAACTTCCAGCGCAGCCAACTCTGGCAGCTCTCCTGCTGCCACACAGCGGCCAGTATTTCTGCCTGGTATCAGTGATATGTACGGGAGAAGGCAGCTCCTGCCCTGGTTGCCTCCACAATGTCACCATGGCACGGGCAGGGGCTGCCACACGAGCTGGAAGAGTTGAGGGGACCTAGAGATGACACGTTTTAAAAATTATTTTATTACTACTTTTTTTTTCAGATCCAGCGTTCTTTGGGAGCTCTGAAGCTAGGCGGATACGGCACCTGGTGTCAAAGCAGTCCCTGATGAGGGAGAATGGCTTTCCAGGGTTCACTGTTACCTTTTAGGCTTTCAAAGAGTCGCCACTCCCCCCCAACTCCTTCCCGCCGACACAGTATGGTCTGGATAACAAACAGCCAGTCTCCCCTCATGCCCCCATTCTCCTGCAAACGCCTCGGTGCGCTTCAGGTTCATTGAGTAAACGACGGGGAGGCGCCGCACAGCGCCGGACGGCCATCACACAGCCCCGGCGCAGGCGCAGCAGCGGTACCCAGGCAAGATGGCGGAGGAGGAGTGAGTGTGGCGTGGCGGGTATCCGCCGCCATCCTCTCGGATTGCGCGGTGGCAGCGTCGGGGGTTGCGGCGGTGTAGCTGCGGCGGTGTTGGATGTGACCGGCTTCTCCTTCCCCTTCCCCGCAGGCCGAGGAGGCGGATCCCGCTGGTGCCGGAGAACTTGCTGAAGAAGAGGAAGGCCTACCAGGCCATCAAGGCCACCCAGGCCAAGCAGGCGCTCCTCAACAAGCGCAAGGTAGGGGCTCGCCGGAGGAATGCGGGGCGGCGGTCCCCGGCCCGGCGGTGCAGCCGGGAGCAGACGGCGTGGAGGAGCTGGCGGCCGGCGGCGGGAGCCTGGTTGTAAGGAATTGCAGTACAAAGCGGATCTGCAGCGCTGCTGCAGCCGTCTGTCCACGTCTTTCGGAGGAGGAAATTGTGATTCCTTGCAGGCGTACAAACGGTCTGAGTGATGAGCCTTCTCTACGAGGGGAATGCCCGAGCCCTGCGGGTGGGCAAAAACTAGGTGCTGACGCTGTATTGATAGCATGATGATCCTTTGGGTTATCTCTTGAGGGGAAGCATAAGTCCATTTCTTAAGTGGTTGAGCATTTTCTCCGTGTGTCTCTGAAGCCTGTAAAGAGGATAAAACGTCTTGTATTACTGAAACACGAGTTTAATGAAGACTGAGTTGTTTCTCAGATTAGTGATTACCAGGGTGATTGTGTGTACAGACACACGTAATAAAATGTAATACTTCTGAGTTATTTTGTTGCCATGGATTAACACTGTCTGAAACTAGTTCACCTTTGCACCATAAACCTTGATGGAGAAGGTGTTCTTTTCTGGAGCACGTTTAGAGTTAGCTGTCATGAGCTAGGTAAATCTGTTAGAGCATAGGTCATCATGAAGCCTTTTTCTGCATGCGGGGTGGCAAGTGTTCCTAATACAGAGACTCCTTGCACACAGCATGTGGCTTCCAGGCTAGCAGAACACAGCAAACCTTTACGAATTGCTGAGAAATGTGCTGCTGTATCTCAGATAATATAGCGGGTGCCTGTCTTGGAAGTGGTTCAAAGCTTTCCCACTGACTCTGTTCTGTGGATTTGATGCAGTTATGTGCAAAGTTCCAGCCATTTTTGGTAAATACTGCATTTGTGTTTTTAAATATCTCAGTGGCTTGCTGTATTTCTAAGGTGGAAATGGAGGCATAAGTAGTAATGTTAAATAGCTACATGTAAGATTCTCATTAGAAAAATTACCTTAGTGATGAGATTTTGAATAGGGCTTCTTGTTTTGAAAATTCAGAATCATTTTATAGGTGAAATAGAAGACACATAACATCAGATCCCTTAATTTAAAATAGCATAATAATTTAGACAGTAGTGCATGTAACATATTAGGAGTTGAATATGCAAGGTAGTTATCATATGATTTAGGTGGATGTACTTGTTCCTGAGCTAAGGATAGGCATTTAAACATCTTTAAAAAACAAAAAAGCTCTAAATTTTCCCATAATTCTGAATTAATTTTTTTTTAAGTGCTCTGGATGTTCTGTATTTAAGTTAGTGATACTTAATAGTTATTTGAATACTTGGATGTTGTTTGTTTTGTTGCATGTTTGCCTTAATAGAAGAGGACTTTAAAGCTGGTTTTATTCTGTGGGATGGTAATTTTGAGTCACACCAGGGTATTGCTGTAGTATCTGTTCTGCAGACACATATGTTGTTTCTGGCTCTCTCAGTGATTGAGCTGTGTATGCAGTTCTGAAGATCTGTCTTGTCTGTGGCTGCAGATGCTTCCATTTGATTTCTCCTATGCCTAGAAGTATTCTAGGTCTTGTTCTGGTTTTTCTAGTGTATTTTTTTTCTTGAGGGGAAAAACTGTCAGTTCACTGTTCATGAATTCTAGCTAGCTACTTGTAAATTTGTATGTTGTTCCTCAGTTCTGTCTCTTTTGGCCTTAGATTACCAATTTTATTTTCTTCTTACTTTTCTCCAGAACTGGAAGAGTATAGTTCATCAAGTTCTGAATTTCACTTGGCCTTTGGAGATGCAAACCCCTGAAACTGCTGGGAAAGGTGGTGACCTTTTATCCTTTTGCCTTTAGCACCAGAAGGGAAAACAGCTCCAGTTTAAACGCCTGGAGGCTTTTGTTCGAGATTCATGGCGCAAACACCGAGATGACACCCGGCTGAGGCGCATGGAACAGAGACCTCCGCAGATGGCTGTACCTCAGGAGCACAAACTAGCCTTTGTTGTGCGGATTGCAGAGTAAGAAACTTGTGTTACTCCTTACCTTTATTACTGCTACGTATCATGTCTAAGCAATGGAAGCATGATCAGCCTAGACATATCTCCTTGCAGGTAATCTGAGGCCCTTTGTTGCTTTATTAGAGAAACCTGTATAAATAGCATTTGTTTTCTGACTCAGTATTAAGGGGGTGAGCAAAAGAGTAAGAAGAGTGATAGAGTTGCTGCGGCTCAGAAAAACTTTTACTGGAATATTTGTTAAACTGACTCCGTTATTGCTGAAGATGCTGCGGATTGTGGAACCGTATGTCGCATGGGGGTAAGTACCAGTCCTGTGACTTGGTAATAGTTTGCATGTAAAGGTCATAGCTTTTTGATTCTCTGCTTGGTATCACAAATCCATAGCTGGCTTTTTGAGTAATGGCCCAGACTTCATCAGCTTTGTACCTAAAACTCACTATTATCCCTTTTCTCATTGTTCTAAATAGAACTTAGCCACTTTCCCACCAGAGAAGTAGGACAGGCTTTCCCTGTGTCTCATGTCTCTTTGTTAAAAGATCTGATTTTTAATTTTGTACAGGCACCCTAACCTGAAATCCATACGAGAGCTCATCCTGAAACGGGGCCAAGCCAAGATTAAGAAAAAGAGGATGCCTCTGACAGACAATATGCTGATAGAGGAACATTTAGGTGAGGAGGAGAATGAAGAAATGAATTGAGGAGAGAGGAGGATGTTATGACTTTGCAATGTGACCTAAGAGGGAGGGAGAAAAAACTTGCAATACCTGTATACGGAGGAATGGCAATTCTTCTGTAATGTGAGGAGAGATAATACAGTTGGCATCTTGTGTACATCTTGGCAGGGGGGGAGGGAGCAGGCAGTTTTTTGTTATTTTACTGATTTCTGGTTGATTGCGTGTTAATTTTTGTTCCTGCAGGGGACTGTGGTATTATTTGCCTGGAAGACCTTATTCATGAGATCCATTCAGCTGGGAAGCATTTCAAGAAAGTCACAAATTTTCTGTGGCCATTCCATCTGTCAGTGGCTCGCCATGCTTCACGTAACAAAGTAGGTTTCCTCAAGGAAATGGGTAAGCCTGGCTGCAGAGGCGAAGCAATCAACCAGCTTATACGTCAGCTGAACTAGTCAGGTGAAGAATGCCTGTTGTGTAACTTCTAAATCTTATCCTTTATTGAGTTTCCTAAGAATAACTGCCACAGGACATGAGGGGGGCTTCTTTTTGCTTCACTCTACAGAAGTGATGTGTATGGTAGGGAAAATAATGGAGACTGTGGGTCCCATTAGGTGTCAGCAAATCTGTTGGATTACCTCCATAAGGATCTGGCTCCTGGGAGACTGCATTCATGGGACTTCTTTTTTTTCTTTGCTGTTCTGCAGGGTCTTTGTGAAAACTTAAGGATTTGGACCCTGTTCCTTCTCACATGCAGTTTTCATGGACGTTTTCTCTGTCCAATGATATGCTCTAGTTCTTGACTGTATATGTTTTTATGTATTTTTCTCTATAAAGAAAAAATATACAGATGGTTATGGAGATGAGACTTCAGGCTGGTCCTTCTTAAAGCAAATAAATTGTGCTTGGTACAAGGAAAGTGACTTGAACTCCCTGAAGCAATCTGACTTCTGCATCTCTGCAAAACAATTTTTTTTAGTATTCATTACTGCTGCCTCTATACCTGTCACTTCCTGATCTCATATCTGGTATAAAGCAGTGGTTGTCAGTTCCTGATTTAAATGTGGCACATTTGATTTCCACTCACACTTTCCATCCTGTACTCCCCAGTGAAAACACTTGAAGCTTCATGCCTTGAAGTGCACTTCCTTAAGGCTAAAGGGGTGGTGCAGTCATCTCTTTAACACAAATTGCTGACAGGCAGAAGGAAACAGGTGTTCCTCTGTTGCTGCAGTGCAAGCCCTAGCAGTGAACGATGTAATGTGTTTGAAGTACCTAGATTGTTTTAAAAAGCAATGATTTTCATGCTAGTGATTTACAGAAGGCTGTATTTTCACTTGTGCTAGGTTCACACTGCTGGAGAGTGCTATTTCCTGATAAAGAGCCAGAAACTTTGTAATAGAGTGATAGAGTACATGTTTAAACGTGTGGGGTTTTTTTTAATAAACTTTTAAAAATACAGTTACAGCAGGAAGAATTGTGTGTATATGACTCTAGAAGAGTGGAAAGAGGTAAATACTCTGCATGAGCAGAGATTGGTGAAGGACATGAACAAAAACACTGAAGAGCCTGGACATTTGGTTTTAAATCTCTAGTTTCTTCAAGTGTAAAAATGAACGAAGAACACAGGAGGAGTGCTGTTTTAACAAATATGGAACCACTGTGCTGAATCATTAGGTCACTGTGACTGTACTGTTCCTTGATGACGTTATGTGGGGGCAAACAGTTAATCCATGAATGAATTTCAGAGTGACTCCACAACATTCATTTTGAGACTGAAAGGAAACAGTTACAATGCCTTTAGGGTATTAGTTTTACAGTAGTTGTAAACTTAATGTAGCATTCATAAAACCATCTAAAGGATGAAGTACTGCAGACTGAATTAGAGAACACTATACAGTTTCAAGCTTTATTTTATAGAACAAGAATTACAGACATAGAGAATGCTTGACAGACATGAGAAGCATACACATACTTAGTAAAACACCATCCCCCAATCTCAAGCCCAACAGTCATCAATATACAAGGCTTCATCTGTAAGTTTTTCCTGATAAACAAGCTGCTTTCATTGGTAAAGAGGTACAAGTCACTTTGGAATTGTTCTGCCAATTCGTTTTGGGATTGTTTCTGGTAATAAAACAGCCCAGACTTTTACACAAAAAACTGGTGTGTCAGGAGTGAGGTTTTCTGAGAGTAAATTTAAGCCTGCTAATAGATTGCAATTTATAAAAAAACAACACTGAAGTGGCAGGATCTGAGGACAACTCTAGCAGTTAATCTCAGATTCAGGCAGTTTTTCTATTAATGTGCTTGTTTAACACACTAGTAATTTAGCTCATATGTTTAATAAGAGTCGAAATATCATAATGAATACCTTATTTAGATGTTTAGAAACAATGTCAGCTTGGTCTAGTGTTAACCCACATCATCACAAACACATTGCCTTTTTTCTGTATCAGCAAAAACAACAGTAATGATGTGTTCATGAATTAGCTGTCCTAGGAACAGAAACTGTACAAGGTAACAGGGTATGTACAACCCTGTGCCCCATGTCTTACGGGAAGGAATCTTTTTTGTAAGCCACTGTGCTGTTCACTTTGTGGATTGTAGTAGTGAAGGAACGAAGACGAACCTCTTCTGAATTGGCTATGAATTGTGGTCCTGACTCTTCCCACTTTTCGGGCACTGCCAAATCTTTATCTGTATATATCAGCAAGTCAAAGGCACCTGTAAATAAGTGGGAACAAATTAACTCTCATGCATAAGAAGATGGAACATCTAGAGTTGAGACGTGTACCAAGGTTTGCAGAAATTACACTGATACTAATTCTGGGAAAAGGAATAGTTGAAACATGAAAAATTAAGTCCTGGTTATATTCGTATGTAGCCATTTTAGTTTTCTCAAGTGTGATGCAAGGTTTTGTTTTTTTTTAAATGTTAAAATGTTGTGGAGCACTTCATATGAATTCAAGAGTTACTTAAACAAGCGTGTCCACAGCTAGCCACAAAATAATTATTTATGAAAGCTTACATTCCTCAGAGTACATATACTAGTTTAACTTAGTTAAGCTACTCTTGAGTTCTGTCCTCGTCTCAGTCTAACAAAATGTGGTCCCAGAAATGTGGTGGTATATGACATGTAATATCTAAAAAGCCTCAAAGTTAGCAGAAAATATTTTCTAAAGTAGGAAGGTTGAGGTTTCTAAAAGAAGTAACCGATTTCTTTAGTGAAGTCAATACTCACAAGCAGCTTCCAACAGTGGCAGAAAAGTTACTGTGGCAGTGATTTGTCTGATAACAGATCGAATTTCATCCTGAATAACTTTCTGAGATTTTTCTCGCAGTTCACTGGAAAAATAGGAAAACTCTGCTAAGAAAGAAAGTTTCTACCATCCTGACAGTTTTCTTCAAATATAATTCTCCTAGTTCAGCCCTGTTGGTCTGTTTGTTACAGAATTTTTATAGTAGTGACTAAGGCCTAGGATAAGTAGGCTTAGAAAAGTTAAGTGATGGTTTACTGTTGTGAAGCTTAACAGTATTTGTAAGGAACTGTGACATTTATTCTCAGTCCAGAATGGATAAAAACATTTTGATGTAACAACAGCAAAGTAGTAGTACTTAAGGGCATATATACCCGGTACAGGATTTTATATACTTTGTTGAAGATTAAAAATCAAGTTCTGATCTGATGCTTTACAGAAGAAAAAAAAAAAAAAAATCACATGTGAGAATTATGTTTGCTTCATGTAGTTTACACTTTATAAGGTGTGATCATAAGGATGAGCAGTAAGAAGTAAGGAAGGCTTTGTAAGGTTTGAAGACACACCTCCCATGCTCAGTGAGCAATAGCTATCTCAAGTGCTCTGAGCCAGAGCAGCACAGATGCACATGGCATGTATCATCTTATATCTGCATAGCTACTAGATATAGGGAAGAGCAGATAGAGGAACACCATTACTCACTTATCATCTTTTGCAGTTTTGTCACACTCGATATCAAACTGCCACCTCTCCAGAACCTCATTGTTTTCAATACTCGAGATCACCACCACCAGGCGCTGCACAATGCACTTGTACAACCACTCTGAAAGAACATACAGCAGTTACTTGCAGCGTGCAAAAGATGAGAAGCACTGGCTGAAACACGTAAGAAGGGCAGAGCAGCCTTCCGCCAGCAGTACTAGCTTGGCAGCCTGAAGAACCCCCCTCAGCTCCCCGGCCCGGCCGAAGCCTCCGGCACCTTTCATCTGCTCCACCACGTTGTTAAGGTAGTTCTTCAGCTCGGGGTCGGTGGTGATGAGGAGAGTGAGCCCATACTTCTGGACGCGGGTGAAAGTCTCGGGGGGGTAGATGCCCCGCTGATAAAGGATGCTGTTGATTCCATAGGCTGCAACAAGGAGAAGGAGAAGGTAAAGGGTGTGTGTGCGAGGCAGCCACAGTCCCCCTTCCCTGCCGGAAGCCATGTCACCCCACAAGAGGCTTATTTGCCGCGTCCATTCTTTTTCCCAGACTGGTCCTGGAGCCCCCTTCCAGTCCCTTCTGGCAGCCCCTTACAGAAAAACTCGGCGACGATCTCGGCGCTGCCCCGCAAGGTGATGCCCTGCTGGTCCCGACCCACTTGCTTAGCCATGGCAGCTGAGCGGATGCTGCTTCCCCGCCGTGCCGTTCAAACCGCGCCGCGCCCCGCCCCACCCCGCCTCTTTCCGGCTTCTCAGGCGGCCTAAGCGCACGCGCAAACCCGCACCTCCCTCCTCCCAGCTTGCGCACGGCCGTTGGGGAGCGGGCTCTTAAGGCTTGGGCGCATGCGCGGATGGTGCTATGAGCGAGAGCGGCGCGAGGCGGCGTGAAGGGACGTGAGGGAAAGTTCTTAAACGTTTTGGGGTGTGGGGCTGTGGCGCTGTGGCGCTGTTGGGCGCTGTTTCGGCAGCGATCTGTTAGGGAAATAAGGGTCTTCTGGTGTTAAACTTTGCATCAGGTCGTGGTGTTGTTGTGTAGAGCTGCGTTCGTCCCTGTGAAGGCACTTCGGAACTTAAAAAATGGTACTCCCAGGTACAAATGAAATTAAGCGAGTACCTCTTTTAAGGGTGATTTTTGGTAGCACTCAGTGTGTAAACTGGGCAGTAGCTATCGAAAATAGAAGTGCTCTGTTCTGCGAATGCTGTCAAAAGGCAGGCAGAAAGAACCTCGGAAAGCCGGATGGAACACACTTTTCCTTCCCTTAAATCTGTAGGTTAGCAGGTAACATGAAAAGAAAGGGTTTAAGAGGCATTTGGAAATGCAGGGAACCCACAAGCTCATTACTCAGTGCACATCCGACCTTGTGGTGAGGCTGCCACAGGGCCGTTGCTGGTTGTTAAAAGCACCTCAATCGTGTTATTACAGGGACAGCAAGGAAGACACTGCAGCTAGCCTTAACTATCACACGGAGGAGACTGTCGGAGGTTAGCAGGTAAGAGACAGAGTAAAACAGCAAGTACATGTGAAATGTTGAAATATTTAAATAGAATCACGAAGAGGGGAAGCTGTAATGTGCTGGGATACTAAGTATGTATCAATCAATAGGCAAATAAGTGAAAAATGAATGGATTTGTTGGGAAGGGAAGAGCTGCAAATGAAATCCTTCAGTGAATACAATTTTCTGAAGGTTCTGGAATGAGTAGACATTATCATCTGCGACATATCTGTATTAGATGGCCTTATTGACCTCAAAGCAAAGGCATCAGAACAGGCTTCAAATGAAAATGACATTCAAAACTGATACTTAAGCCTAGGATAAAAACTGCATGGTCATTACATAGTTCAGTAGACCAGCTGCTAAAGACTGAGTCAGTGCCACAGTTGTTTATTTTGTCATAATAAATGGTAAAAACAAACCAAAAAGGTTTTTTTTTTTTTTGTCTCTAAGAGGAATTACAGTTTGTTTCAGTGTTCGCTGTGCTGTTATTAAAACCAGTAGTATATCCTGAAATCATGCTGAAGTCTGAATAATTTAGTTTGGTAACCTAGAGGACCTTTATCCTGGGTCTTGATCATTAGTGGTTGTGTTATATGTTAGTCTTCTGAATAAAATATTTTGATTGTTGTATTTCAAAGCCTTATGGTAGTAAAAGCATTTTTCATCTGAGTCCCAGCTTTTAGAAGCTAGATATAGCTGTATCAGCTGTTTTGCTTCAGACCTTATGTACTAGCATACTACTCTTCATCTGTTCCAAAATGGTCTCATCCTTCCACCCCCGCTTTTTTTTTCTTTTTTTTTTTTCCCCCACACTTGAATTTTCATTCATTTTGCTTCCTCTTGAGTGTTTTGGAGAGTGCTCATTTTTGATTAATTATCGCACATTTCTCATCTAGCTGTTTTACTGTTAAAACCAAATGGAAGAAAAAAGTCAAAATACTTCTTGATTTACTAGATGTATTTTGCCACATCTCAGTGTAGATGGCTTAAAGATCTGTTGTTGATGTGACTGTGTAAGGAAGTCTTACTTTGGCCAACAGAGTCTTAGTGCTTCTCTTTTTCTGGTAGATCTCAAGCTCTTCTGAGTAATTTCTTTCTACATTTTAGGAGGCGACT